AATTATGTAATTTGATTGGATAATTATCACGGGAAATCACGGGTAGATCAGCCAATCAGATGAATGTCGTCCTATGAATACAAACCCCTAGAAAGGAAATGACTAATCGGAGTGCACAAAATTTGATTGTTCCGGATCAGCCTGACATGAGTTCTAAACACGTGCAAAAGAAGAAAAAAGCGAAACTACTCAAAAACTAGTGTTTAAATCGACCTTGGTTCACTAATTAAAAATTTTGAAAACGAAATTTTACATAACAAGTAACAATCTATTGTTATAGCCTCTAATGTCAACGCTCTAACCCTAAACTTCTATCTTTACGCACTTAGTCACTAAATTCGATTTCCTTTTTTGGTTTGTATTACTCGCACAAATAAGTAAAATCATTTTGCACCATGATATTTTGTGGCGTAAACCAATCAGATTTCAAGATCAGGTGTAACGTAGCACACACAGGAAAATTCAAACAAACGTTCGTTTTTCCAAAAATCGCTCATAACTCAAAAATTTGTATATGAAAACCACCTTTAACGCACTAACATTGAGCGATTTTTATTAATATACTCATAAATACCTAACCATAATATAAACGTTAACCTTAACCATAACGAATTTTAAGAATTTTTATCGTCGTCACGCGATATTGGGGAAGACTATCACCGGGGATGATGCTGAAATTTTTACTTATTTTATTATGAAAAATTAAAATTTTTTCGGGGTGTTTTGTTCAGCTTTTATTTTTTATAGTTCGATTAGAAGATATGGTTAGTGTTTATAATAAAAGAATATACCAGTAGGCGGATTTTAATAGGGTTTATATTTTTAAATTAAGACCCCAAATTTAAGCATCATCTCCGACAAAAAGTTTTGATCTTTGGCCAAGAATTTGGACAATTTTGTCCAATTACCAAAACTTGTCCATTTGCCCAAATGCCATCACTGCAATATATATATGAATGCTGCCAAGGGCACTTCGGGCGTTTATTATTGATTATTTATTTGATTCAGCCCTTCTCGGTACACCATATATTGTAATTTAAAGCCCGATCGATCATAAGGGATAGATCAGATACATAATCATTTACTTAAAACCCGAAGTGTACATCACTTTGATTATCAAAACTATTACGTTTTTTATTAAAATACCTATTCAACTTATCGTGAACAAATTTAAATTTATCGTGATGAAAACAGCTGAAAACAAATTCGGATAAACCAACCATAACTGGTAACTGATTAAAAATTTTTGCTGATATCGATATGGGAAATTAATTTACCATTCAGCGTTAGATATTAGCATTATCAGAAATCGAGTTTCATATAAAAACTGGTTTTTTTGTTCGGCGTTAATGCATATCGATACTGTAATATATATTATAATATATAGAAAAGAAGATATATACATTTAGTTCTAACTCTAATACGTAGGTGAACAATTAAGATAAACGTATCCTCATTGTAATTCGATTTCCTTATGTTTTATGGTGTGTTACAAGTTGATGTATTTGAAACAAGGATTTTTCTTGTCAACCAATAAAAAAAATGAAAACATAATAGGAGGAATTTTACCTATATACCATTCCTACTGCTAACCAGAATTAAGCAAAGACTTATAGTATGTACAGTAGGTTTCTTAGAAAATAAATCATTATATATGATTGTGACTAATACTGATTAGTTGGAAAGCATGTTAATCACATGATGAATATATGAAATCATAAAATCACGATAATGCACATTTAGTATAAGATTTTAAAATTAATTAAATTATACTAAAAAAGTAATACAAAAGCGGGCTCCTTGTAAGTCATCCCTATATTAAGTTTTATTGACGTGCATTTCATTATCTTTGTGTCACCTTTGAATTACTTCTTTGAGAATTACCGTTGGATAAGAAATCTATTTAACTGAGATGACGTGAAGGATCTCAGGATGTTTGCGTTAATTCATATCAATAATTTTAATGTATGCATTGTCTCAACCTTACCACAATAGGATAATAAGAAGGTCTCAGAAAATAAATACAATGTTGATCTGCGCCATTTATACTGTGCATTACGTTGCACGAGTAGGACAAGCTGTTTCACTTAATGTAAAAAAAATAAATATTGGAAATTTTTCGTCAGTTAATTTTCAAAACTTACTCTTGTCTCTTAAATTTATCCAATTTTTTTTTTATCTCCTAATAAAAAAGGCTGGGCCTAAAAAAAAAAAAAAATTGTTACTTTTAGTAATCTTGGTGCATATTTATTCTTAGATATTAATGAATACCTCAAGAAATCCTCGTTCTAACCGTCAAAAAGGTCTACCAGCAATTCCTTTTCAATACCATGAGGCTTATGATGATCGGTATAGAACTGCTGGGCGAGATACGTATTTCGTAAATGATGAATATATAGATAATGATAATGATCAATCTGAAGTACCATCAATTCCTGAGAGAGATACATATCTTGATACCGATGAGCTTTCTGATAATGATGATAATTACGATGAATATAATCCTGAATCCCCTATTTCTTCCCCAAATAATGATCGTCCCCCTTCACCACCACCATCTCCTAAAAAAAATGGTTATGATTTGAATAGAGAAATTTCAACATCACCTAAAAAAAATGGTTATGATTTGAATAGAGAAATTTCAACATCACCTAATAATAACTCTGAAAAACCATTACCTCAATTTGATGATCAATCTCAACAAAAGCGAAAGAATTATTTTAATCTTGGTAAAACTCTCACATCTCGCTTTAAATTCAAAAAGCCTAATGCAAAGGATAATCAAGATCGTTCTGTATCTGATCCTATCACTATAAATGAAAAGTCTCAATCATTACTTAGTTCACTTCCTACTTTAGCACCTTCTTCTCCAATTTCTCATCAAATTCCTGCCGAATATTTTCCTGATAATTTTGATAAAGATGAGGAAACAAAGTCTGTTGAACAGATTACTACTCATGAATTAACGATAGACGATCTTTATCATTTTGTTCTCAATATACGAAAAGGTTTTCAATCGCAATTCGATGAAATGAATTCACAAATTAAAGAGTTAAAAAATGAGATCAGAAGATTAAAAGGTGAGGAGTCTGAAGACGAAGCTCCAAACGAGGATGTTAAAGAAGATTCAGTGACTAATAATGCAACAAATGTTCGAACAGTTACCAGACAAATGGAAAGATATGGTGGTGCTGGAAGATGGTTTCATAACGATAATATGTAATCTATTTATTGAATATATTATTTAACTAAGTAGTAAATAATATAATATAAGATTCAATTTATTTATTATATCACTTGTACATTATTAAATATATCATATCTTATAAGTCGCCAGTTAATATTGGCATAATGCGCTGTATTATTATCTGGGAGGACAAATAAATTGCGTAAATTAGAGTTTATTATATTTTAAAGCATCTCACTGTAATAGGTAGTGTAGTACTAGTGTAGTAGGGAATTTTTAATATGAATATTATATAGGTAAGAATTTAGTCTCAACATACTATAATTTATTACGTTGATGTTATGATTTTATTATTCTTATTATTCAATAATTAAATAAAAATTAATTCTGTTCATTAATCAACATTTTACATGTTCCGTCTTCGCCTTGATTTTCCAATGTTAATTTTCTTCCAAGAGTTTCATTATCAACTGCATGTTCTAAAGCCTTCAAGAAATCTTTCAATGTTGTCGTAGCCCATGAGTTTAAAAAGTGAGCGTATGCTAAGAATGGCATTTTACGTAACGTACGCCCACTCATTCCCTAATGGAAAGAAATATTCTTAGTTTTGATATTTGAATAATTCCTCTTTTATTGAATATCCAATATTTACTTGCCTGACATTTTCCGCAAATAGAATAAAGTCTAATGCTTGGATTATCAATGCTATTTGTGTGTTGGTATAATTCCACAGCACGCCAATCAAGCAAAAATTCCTTTAATAAAGAAATTTAATGAATCTCGAAATAATAATCTGAAATAATGACGATAATTGGAAATTTTCTTCAAAATATTACCTCCTCTGCGATTATTCTAACTCTCATTAACTCTCGTATGCAGCTTGATAGTATGCCATAAATGGCTTGTTGTGATGGCAAACCGATATATTGCTTGATATCGGCTCGATCAATGAAGGCAATGTCTATGTATGTATACGTATGTTACATTAAATGTTAAACATTGCATTTACTTTTTATAATTTTTATATAAATATATATATTTGTTTTATATTGGCACACCTATTGCTTCTGTGATATTTGAGGTTGTCAGTATTAGAACGTTCTTTTCTTGTTTCAATTTATCTATTTGTGTCAGTAAGGCATTGACCACCTGATGACACATATAATTGTTATATATTTATCCATTGGTTAAGAGTTATAACCAAATATTGTAAATTACCCTAACAGCATCTAATGGTTCCGCTCCAGATAACGCAGACCTTCTGGTAGCTGCCAAACTTTCCACTTCATCTAAAATACATAGATACACAATATCTCTGTGAATTTTTTTTTTCTTTTATTAATAAATGGATTACTTGCAATAATTTATAACAATAATTTACCTATTAAAATGCAGACAAATGCATCATCATCATCTATCAAATCATAAATTTGTTGGAACAATTTTTGCACCAGTTTTCCAGATTCAGAGAACCATTTAGAAAATAAACTATGACTATTTATCTCGAATAACTTTCCATGAGAATATCTAGTTGGCAAAACAAAAAAAAACAATTGGTATATCGTTTGATTTATAAATCTAATAACTTTTCTTACCTCTCCGCTAATCGAATAGATAATTTTTGCGCAAAAGCTCGACAAAGAGTTGTTTTTCCTGTTCCTGGTGGTCCATGCAACAGAATAATTCTAAAAAATGTAAAATAATTTGATCTTTGTAAAAAAAAAAATAAGGTTAAAACACGTATGAATTACGCGGATAAGAAATTTCACCTGTTCCATGAGATAATATTTGTGTTCACATTTCGATCAGCAAATAAAATTGTTGTGTAAACGTAATCAAGCAATCGAGTTTTAATATTTTCGTCAAATATGAGACTGTTTGAAAATTAATTATTATTCTTTAACAAGTGCAATTCACCATAATATATAATAAACTTCTTATTACTTACTTATCCCATAAACCATCGAGAGCTCGTGCCGGTAAATCCCAATAATTAGCTGTTAGAACATTTTCTTCTTCCTGATATTCCTCTACTACATCATCTTCATTAAGTTGATACACGTGAATATCCAAATCCACGTTTTCTAGAATTTGAATATCAGACGTGTCGCCTTTATATATTTAAAAGTTAGATAGATATGACAGTCATATAATAATTATTTGCCACGTACATATAGACTTACTTCCGGCTTCGGCAACGATCATATATTCTACATGTTCTTTAAGTAAAGCTACATCCTGAAAATCCGTTACTTCAGAATGACATAGCAATGAAGTTTTGAATTCACGTAAGAATTTCTCGACTTGCCCACGTATCACGTCGTATCTTACTGTACTGTGAGTCTTTAAGCAGCATTCAACTAAAATATGTAATAAAAAGTACGTGTTTATTTTCAAAATAAATATATTCCAAAGAGTTGGTATGCTTATAACTAGAAAACGCGTCAAAACTAACTGTGAAGAGTTGATCTTGCATGTTCTGTCAATAGTGGAGGTGATGTATCCTCAAATAATGTGGGTAAGGCAGGTAAGGCAGGTAATGTGGGTAATATAGAATTTATTTCTGTTGTTTCTGATCGAGAAGGCTCTGCCTCCATAATAGTTAATGATAATTAAAATTACACGAAAAAAAAAACCAATTATCTTTTAAGGCAATTAGTCATGTGATTATACATGAATAACAGAAAAAAAAATTTGTCTGAAAATAAAGATAAACCAAATATTTGACTGCATTAATATTAGGGCTTAGTCGAGTTAGTCGACTTTTTAAATTTTGATTTAAGGCGTTTTTAAGCACCTCTCTTAATAAAAAGCCAGATTCTTTGTCTAATTTATTAAAAGATAGGGATGGTAAAGTTCTTAGGTTCAATTTTGAAACCTATTCTTAGGTTTATAATTGGTTTTAATATAAAATTTTTAGTAATAATAATATCCTGATCCGTTGTGAATTAGCGGAAACGAAGTAGGATATTATTAAGGGAAGATATACCGACAAACTACCCCAAGAACAAACGTGACCAAAAATGTGGCAAAAACCAATCACATTTCAAGATCAGGTGTAACGTAACATTCAAAAATCGCTTGTCGCAGATCATAATGAAATGAAATGAGGGGTTTCTATTTAACCCTCTAAAACCACTTATACTTCTTTATTTTGTATTTTTCGGTGCCATTAATAAATACCGACACAGCATACACGTGATTTAATGCTCAGCAAAATGGCCAGAATTAAACTAATCGACACAGCATTATAGTTAGGTTTAGCGTTAGGGTATGCTGAATTAGTCACGTGCGAAAATTTTCGGTCATGTGAAAAGCGATAAAAGTTTTTAAAGTTCCTGTTTAGGGCTAAAGAATTGTCACGGCTGATGCTGAATCTGGTTGATGCTGAATTTTGGGGTCTTAATTTGGATTACTAAAACCCACATATACTCTTTTATTAACAACTCTAACACTAAATTCTAGTCTAACTATTACAAAAAAGCTAAAAAATACACCCCAAAAAATTATAAATTTTATATCCAATATTCAGCATCAGCCAGCATCAGCCGTGACATTGATTAATCCTCCCGTGATCTTGATATAGTGATCGGGGGATTATTATTACTTATCTCAAAGGAAGAAGTTCGTCTGATTGGCTGATGTAAATCAATTGCTCGGATAAACAAGCAAAAGTTCTTGGAAAGAGTAAAATCGAATATTTCTGGCTCTTTCCATATGACATGTGGTCCATTCAGCATTTCATCTCTTGGTCTACAAATATGTTTGGACGCATCGAGAAAAATGAGGCACATACAGTGTTTTATAACACCTTATATATTATCCGTGATGACCCAAGCACCTCACAAGAAGTTCTTGAGGCAGTTAGAAGCCTTTTATTCACAAAGAGAGTAAGTACCTTATTTTATATGCCAAACGCACGTTTTCAGGTTTAATATAAGCACAAGAAGCTTTCGCTTGGGGATTTACAAGCCCTCGGTTATTGCAGTGTTTAGCGTATTCATCCTGGGGACTGTTTAACAATATTTTCTTGACAAGGTCTACTAATCCCGGAGGTGAAGTTGGTTATGTACCTTTAACAAAAAATATACCGTATATTACCGATTAGAAGCAACCAAAATGTTGTAAAAAAAAAAAAAAGAGAAATTTTTCGAGCCAAAGTGAAGGGGTTGCTTCTATTCGAGTCCAATTTTATTTGTATAACATAACAACCTTAGTCAAATTTTTGCATCAAAATCTGGGGGTTGCTTTTATTCGGTGGTTGCTTCTAATCGGTAACATACGATACTAGATATTTCTTTGTGTTCTGAGTGTATCATCTAAATATTCTTGCTGAGAATATTATCTCATTTACTGTTATTTTATGCAGGTTGATGGGAAAATGGCTCGAAAGCCATTAGCTGATATTTCTAATCAGCAAGAAGTTTCATTACCTTCTGCACCTATTGCCGGAAAAAAACAAAGCATTGGTAATAAATATCATGGATATCTCCGCAGATGTTTCATCGCAAAAGAACGGATCCATAGATATTTTAGAAGTGTTTAAGGTTGTAGTCCGTGAATTTGACCAAAGCGCGATAGCACTAGGATCCACCCGCTCGTACAAAAGTTCAAATCACATATACGTGAATTTTGAGCATCATAATAAAGTTCCGAGGGAGAGCACGTACGATGCTGAGATGTACAGGATCTTAGCAAATTGGCTAAAGAAAGTTCACGGCTACGAAATTACAGGCCAGTAGCATCTCGAACAAGTTTGTGATGATGGCAACCGCCATCATTATTACTGGGATTTGACGATAAAAAACCTGATAACCCCCATCCTGAAGTTCTTATTGAGCTCTTAGCGACAGCATCGGTTTCAAAACTAAACGGTCATTTCGACCAAGTCTTTAAGTATGCTGAACACCTTTGCCCCCAAGAAGTTTGGATTGTACACTTTTCTCGTGAAGATTTTGTTGTTATTAAACCATACTGGCCATCCCAAAAGCTTCAGGATAAGGGTTTGAATGTCATACATTTCTGGCATGACAAGGATTTTAGAAATGTCCATATGAGTGCCAAATTTCAGGATGGCACTGACAAGTTCTGCGAAGTAATAGATGAACAGATCTTACCTTAATTTATTTATGATGTTTAAAATCATGGTTCCGATTTGCCTATGTAGTAGATATATTCATTTTTTTCTGCACTTTTGTGATAGGAGAATACAACATTTTTTCAAAAAATTTTAAAAAAATTTAGATATGTATATATTATTCTTTTTGTTAATATATATATTGCGATGAAAAATTTGAATAATCTTTCCATATATCAAATGCTAAACCACCGCTGAATTTTGAATATGCAGTAACCATATTTCAGCCAATAGAAATGCAGAATTATAGTGTAACAAATTTTGTTATACAATAATAATGCAATTTAATTGGCTTAATTAAATTAAAAAAGTTATTTTTATTATATAATGCTGAAAATTTTACAAACTTACAAATTTAGAATTGTATTTTCTTAATAATAAGCAAAAATATTAAAACAAAATACGTAGTTTGGTAGATCTTTTCTAAAGCTATCAAATTACGTATTTTTTTTTAACTTTAAAATTTTTTATTGAGGAGATACAATTTAAAAAAGTAGTTAATAAATTTGATACCTTTAGACTGTTCAAAAGAGAAAAACACAATTACTTCGAAAAAATGGCATATCTTTATAATCAGTTTACTTTTGCATGTGTGTATTTTGTGAATTTATTTTTTGTTATCAATGTATATTAACTTGCATTATGATCGAGGGTTTTTAAATTTTTTCTTGGCAAAAGTGATCGGCGTACTAATCCAGCTACCTATCATATTATTGTGGACACTTTTTCGCGCTCAATAACTCGGAATCGGGTAAGTAAATGCGGTACAAATTTTTTGTCACA